CTGTTCTTCCTGCCAGTGCGTGTTGCTTTCACTTACACTTGCCACAGCCAGCCTCGTGAGTGCCTAGCCTATTGGATATCACTGTCACCTACACAGGACAGTCATTACCTTTCTATTAATACTTTGTGTTTTAATTTCACATTAATTTCCATATTGTATAAACGACTGGAAAAAACTTGAGCCCCTGCCCCTGTATAATCATGTGCATGTCTCTGTTCTAGCTCCAAGGTGAATCTTCACTGCTCATGTTCTCCTCAGAAGCACTCACCTCACTCCCCTCAGGTTACTGTACACATGCACCAACTGCCTGCTTCAGGTTTGGATGGAGCTTCATGGTTGTCTTTTGGAGAAATGACCAGTCAAGTTGTGTTTGAAATTTGATTTTTTTCAGGGGCAAAAGGAGCCTCTGCATTCTTGTCAAATATGTAAATAGCATGTTTTTGCAGGTGCTAAAAACCAGACTCTGAGTGTGTGTGTGTGTGTGTGTGTGTGTGTGTGTGTGTGTGTGTGTGTGTGTGGGTGTGTGTGTGTCTGTGTGTGCGTTCAAGTCACATGACATATTTAACCGGATGTAGCTGCAAGACGGAGCCTCGTTGACTCTCCGTTTCAACTTATCTCAAAAGTGAGGACCTCAACCTATATACCAGTTTTTAAATTGTGTTGATTGGCCAAATAAAACCAGAGTTATGATAAATTATGTCCGCGATACTTTTTTTCTGCTTATTTTGATCACGTTCGGCGCTCGATCGCGCTGTATGAGACAGGAAAACATAGCATGCAGACATTAGCGACAGGTCTTACAGGCGGAAAAGGCTTGCCAAAAGAAAAAAAAAAACACACCACAACATCTCTCCTATTGGTGGAAAACTTCACCACAACAACCAATCCAAAATTATATGGTGACTGATTGACAAGGGGCGGGCGCTTACGTTCTTCCTGCAACATGAGAAGGGAGGGAGGGACTCTCAGCAGGGATGCAGTCTGGGACACGTAGTTGCAAACCTAGCGACTTTGTTGTTAGATTCAATGACTTTTCAGACCCCCAACGACTTTTTTTTAGAAAGAAAGGGACTTTTATCGACTTCTTCTGGAGTTTAGAGACTCTGACATGAAGCAGGCTTTCCTTACTGAGGAGTTAGCAACGCTGCTAAGGGTGCAGAGCCACACATGCGCTCAGAGCTCTGCATGGGAGACTGAAGCTGACAGAGCTGCAGCAGTTAGCAGGTTTCACCCTCAGAGACCACCAGGGGTTCATGTTGAGGCATTTTAATTTTTTTTTTTTTTTGTGCCATAGACACTGTCAGCACAATCTGCAGTTACACTAACAAAAATGCTGCAAAAACAAAGAATTATGGAAAAATTACACATGGACTGACATAGAGGAGGATCTACACAAGTTTTTTACATCATGTTTTACATCATGCATCATTTACATCATGTTTTTTTGTAGTGGCATAAATAAAAAGTGACATTTGTGAGACTATACAGTGTTTTGTAAATAATTTTACAAAGAACGCCTGGGCCATTGCCTGCATTTTGATGTAAATAGAGGTAAATTACTATGTTCTTTGTTAAAAATTTGCATATGTTTTGAAGTTTACAATTTTTATTTGAAGTTTAAGTTTTAAAAACAGTTCATCACACATATTTGTGGTTTAATTTCACATTAATTTCCATGTTGTATAAATGACTGGAAAAAACTTGAGCCCCTGCCCCTGTATAATCATGTGCACGTCCCTGTTCTAGCTCCAAGGTGAATCTTCACTGCTCATGTTCTCCTCAGAAATAGTCACCTCACTCCCCTCAGGTTACTGTACACATGCACCAACTATCTGCTTCAGGTTTGAAATGGAGCTTCATGGTTGTCTTTTGGAGAAATGAACAGTCAAGTTGTGTTTGAAATTTGATTTTTTTCAGGGGCAAAAGGAAGCCTCTGCATTCTTGTCAAATATGTAAACAGCATGTTTTTGCAGGTGCTAAAAAACAGACTCTGAGTGTGGGTGTGTGTCTGTGTGTGTGTGTGTGTGTGTGTGTGTGTGTGTGTGTGTGTATGTTGGCGTGTGTGTATATGTGTGTGTCTCCTGCAGTACTCTGTACTCCTGCAGTGGCCAAAAAGACTTTTAAGAATGTGGATTTTTGGGTCATCTTTGGCGCCCCCTAGAACTGCAGTACTCTGTACTCCTGCAGTGGCCAAAATGACTTTTAAGAATGTGGATTTTTGGGTCATCTTTGGCGCCCCCTAGAACGTAAACCGTGGGGTGCAGCGTCATGATTTTTACAACTTTGAATGGGCATGGGGTGTAGATTGCCCTGAGCAAATTTGGTATCGGTGGGACGAAAGCCTTAGGAGGAGATAGCCACATTCCAATGTGTGCGAATCGGCAAAAATGCAAAATAGCCCTTTAACCGTACATTATACAGATACGCGCTCTTTGACTTTTTCGTAGATCTAATTGAGATACACATGATTGTCAATTTTTGTGTCAATATGACAAAGCGTTCAGGCGTGACACTCAACAATGTGTATTTTTATGTAAGGGGACAAGAAAAAATTGACTTTTTTCTCCTACCATGGGGGGGCGCTCTTTTGGGGAGTAAAAATTCCTTCACAAATGTGTTGATGGCTGGACATTGCATCATCCTAGAAAACTTGGAGGCCAGTGAGGACAAAAATAAAAAGTTATAAAACATTTAAGAATGTGGATTTTTGGGTTATTTTTGGCGCCCCCTAGAACCTAAACCATGGGGTGCAGCATCATGATTTGAATAACTTTTAATGGCCATGGGGTGTAGATTGGCCTGAGCAAATGTGGTGCCGGTGGAACGAAAGCCTTCGGAGGAGTTAGCGAAATTCCAATGTGTGCGTATCGGCAAAAAATGCGAAATAACCCTTTAACCGTAATTTTGACAGATACGGCCGCACTGACTTTTTTGTAGATCTTATTGAGTTACATGTGTGTGTCAATTTTTGTGTCATTTTGACAAAGCGTATAGGCTTGACACTCAACAATGTGTATTTTCACCTTAGGGGACAAGAAAAAATGGACTTTTTTCTCCTGCCATGGGGGGGCGCTCTTTTGGGGAGTAAAAATTCCTTCACAAATGTGTTGATGGCTGGACATTGCATCATCCTAGAAAACTTGGAGGCCAGTGAGGACAAAAATAAAAAGTTATAAGACTTTTAAATATGTGGATTTTAGTGTTATCTTTGGCGCCCCCTAGAACCTAAACCTTGGGGTGCAGCGTCATGATTTTGATAACTTTTAATGGCCACGGGGTGTAGATTGGCCTGAGCAAATGTGGTGCCGGTGGAACGAAAGCCTTCGGAGGAGTTAGCGAAATTCCAATGTGTGCGGATCGGCAAAAAATGCGAAATAACCCTTTAACCGTAATTTTGACAGATACGGCCGCACTGACTTTTTTGTAGATCTTATTGAGATACATATGTGTGTCAATTTTTGTGTCAATATGACAAAGCGTACAGGCGTGACAGTCAATAGTGTGAATTTCCACCTTAGGGGGCGCTATGGAGCCATTTTGCATTTTATTGTTTGGGCGACTTCAGAATATCGAATTTTTCACCAGGCCCGGTCGTCCTGCCAAATTTCATGAGTTTTCGCCAGTGGGAAGTGGGCCATTTTCCAGTTCAAAGGGGAGGAAAAAGAAGAAAGAAAGAAACAAAGAAAAACCCCTACAGGAATAACAGGGCCTACGCCCGGCTGCTCTGCAGCTGGCTCGGGCCCTAAAGAAAGAAAGAAACAAAGAAAAACCACTTGGGGAATAATAGGGCCTACGCCCGGCTGCTCTGCAGCTGGCTCGGGCCCTAAAGAAAGAAACAAAGAAAAACCACTTGGGGAATAATAGGGCCTACGCCCGGCTGCTCTGCAGCTGGCTCGGGCCCTAAAGAAACAAAGAAAAACCACTTGGGGAATAATAGGGCTCTACGCCCGGCTGCTCTGCAGCTGGCTCGGGCCCTAACTAGGACCCCGTTGGGGCACTGGCGGGCCCGAGCCGTGTCGCGTCCCCCCCCCCCCCCAACGTGCTGCCTTCCCGTCCCATTTGTGTCCTCTGGCCATCGCCCTCTCTGGTAACGCCCATCACTGCAAAGACCCTTTTCCTTCATCGGCGTTTGCTGTTCTTCCTGCCAGTGCGTGTTGCTTTCACTTACACTTGCCACAGCCAGCCTCGTGAGTGCCTAGCCTATTGGATATCACTGTCACCTACACAGGACAGTCATTACCTTTCTATTAATACTTTGTGTTTTAATTTCACATTAATTTCCATATTGTATAAACGACTGGAAAAAACTTGAGCCCCTGCCCCTGTATAATCATGTGCATGTCTCTGTTCTAGCTCCAAGGTGAATCTTCACTGCTCATGTTCTCCTCAGAAGCACTCACCTCACTCCCCTCAGGTTACTGTACACATGCACCAACTGCCTGCTTCAGGTTTGGATGGAGCTTCATGGTTGTCTTTTGGAGAAATGAGCAGTCAAGTTGTGTTTGAAATTTGATTTTTTTCAGGGGCAAAAGGAGCCTCTGCATTCTTGTCAAATATGTAAATAGCATGTTTTTGCAGGTGCTAAAAACCAGACTCTGAGTGTGTGTGTGTGTGTGTGTGTGCGTTCAAGTCACATGACATATTTAACCGGATGTAGCTGCAAGACGGAGCCTCGTTGACTCTCCGTTTCAACTTATCTCAAAAGTGAGGACCTCAACCTATATACCAGTTTTTAAATTGTGTTGATAGGCCAAATAAAACCAGAGTTATGATAAATTATGTCCGCGATACTTTTTTTCTGCTTATTTTGATCACGTTCGGCGCTCGATCGCGCTGTATGAGACAGGAAAACATAGCATGCAGACATTAGCGACAGTTCTTACAGGCGGAAAAGGCTTGCCAAAAGAAAAAAAAAACACACCACAACATCTCTCCTATTGGTGGAAAACTTCACCACAACAACCAATCCAAAATTATATGGTGACTGATTGACAAGGGGCGGGCGCTTACATTCTTCCTGCAACATGAGAAGGGAGGGAGGGACTCTCAGCAGGGATGCAGTCTGGGACACGTAGTTGCAAACCTAGCGACTTTGTTGTTAGATTCAATTACTTTTCAGACACCCTAACGACTTTTTTTTAGAAAGAAAGGGACTTTTATCGACTTCTTCTGGAGTTTAGAGACTCTGACATGAAGCAGGCTTTCCTTACTGAGGAGTTAGCAACGCTGCTAAGGGTGCAGAGCCACACATGCGCTCAGAGCTCTGCATGGGAGACTGAAGCTGACAGAGCTGCAGCAGTTAGCAGGTTTCACCCTCAGAGACCACCAGGGGTTCATGTTGAGGCATTTTAATTTTTTTTTTTGTGCCATAGACACTGTCAGCACAATCTGCAGTTACACTAACAAAAATGCTGCAAAAAACAAAGAATTATGGAAAAATTACACATGGACTGACATAGAGGAGGATCTACACAAGTTTTTTACATCATGTTTTACATCATGCATCATTTACATCATGTTTTTTTGTAGTGGCATAAATAAAAAGTGACATTTGTGAGACTATACAGTGTTTTGTAAATAATTTTACAAAGAACACCTGGGCCATTGCCTGCATTTTGATGTAAATAGAGGTAAATTACTATGTTCTTTGTTTAAAATTTGCATATGTTTTGAAGTTTACAATTTTTATTTGAAGTTTAAGTTTTAAAAACAGTTCATCACACATATTTGTGGTTTAATTTCACATTAATTTCCATATTGTATAAATGACTGGAAAAAACTTGAGCCCCTGCCCCTGTATAATCATGTGCACGTCCCTGTTCTAGCTCCAAGGTGAATCTTCACTGCTCATGTTCTCCTCAGAAATAGTCACCTCACTCCCCTCAGGTTACTGTACACATGCACCAACTATCTGCTTCAGGTTTGAAATGGAGCTTCATGGTTGTCTTTTGGAGAAATGAACAGTCAAGTTGTGTTTGAAATTTGATTTTTTTCAGGGGCAAAAGGAAGCCTCTGCATTCTTGTCAAATATGTAAACAGCATGTTTTTGCAGGTGCTAAAAAACAGACTCTGAGTGTGTGTGTGTGTCTGTGTGTGTGTGTGTGTGTGTGTGTGTGTGTGTGTATGTTGGCGTGTGTGTATATGTGTGTGTATCCTGCAGTACTCTGTACTCCTGCAGTGGCCAAAAAGACTTTTAAGAATGTGGATTTTTGGGTCATCTTTGGCGCCCCCTAGAACTGCAGTACTCTGTACTCCTGCAGTGGCCAAAATGACTTTTAAGAATGTGGATTTTTGGGTCATCTTTGGCGCCCCCTAGAACGTAAACCGTGGGGTGCAGCGTCATGATTTTTACAACTTTGAATGGGCATGGGGTGTAGATTGCCCTGAGCAAATTTGGTATCGGTGGGACGAAAGCCTTAGGAGGAGATAGCCACATTCCAATGTGTGCGAATCGGCAAAAAATGCAAAATAGCCCTTTAACCGTACATTATACAGATACGCGCTTTTTGACTTTTTCGTAGATCTAATTGAGATACATGTGTGTGTCAATTTTTGTGTCAATATGACAAAGCGTTCAGGCGTGACACTCAACAATGTGTATTTTTATGTAAGGGGACAAGAAAAAATTGACTTTTTTCTCCTACCATGGGGGGGCGCTCTTTTGGGGAGTAAAAATTCCTTCACAAATGTGTTGATGGCTGGACATTGCATCATCCTAGAAAACTTGGAGGCCAGTGAGGACAAAAATAAAAAGTTATAAAACATTTAAGAATGTGGATTTTTGGGTTATTTTTGGCGCCCCCTAGAACCTAAACCATGGGGTGCAGCATCATGATTTGAATAACTTTTAATGGCCATGGGGTGTAGATTGGCCTGAGCAAATGTGGTGCCGGTGGAACGAAAGCCTTCGGAGGAGTTAGCGAAATTCCAATGTGTGCGTATCGGCAAAAAATGCGGAATAACCCTTTAACTGTACATTTGACAGATACGCGCGCATGGACTTTTTTGTAAATCTTATTGAGTTACATGTGTGTGTCAATTTTTGTGTCATTTTGACAAAGCGTATAGGCGTGACACTCAACAATGTGTATTTTCACCTTAGGGGACAAGAAAAAATGGACTTTTTTCTCCTGCCATGGGGGGGCGCTCTTTTGGGGAGTAAAAATTCCTTCACAAATGTGTTGATGGCTGGACATTGCATCATCCTAGAAAACTTGGAGGCCAGTGAGGACAAAAATAAAAAGTTATAAGACTTTTAAATATGTGGATTTTAGTGTTATCTTTGGCGCCCCCTAGAACCTAAACCTTGGGGTGCAGCGTCATGATTTTGATAACTTTTAATGGCCACGGGGTGTAGATTGGCCTGAGCAAATGTGGTGCCGGTGGAACGAAAGCCTTCGGAGGAGTTAGCGAAATTCCAATGTGTGCGGATCGGCAAAAAATGCGAAATAACCCTTTAACCGTACATTTGACAGATACGGCCGAACTGAACTGACTTTTTTGTAGATCTTATTGAGATACATATGTGTGTCAATTTTTGTGTCAATATGACAAAGCGTACAGGCGTGACAGTCAATAGTGTGAATTTCCACCTTAGGGGGCGCTATGGAGCCATTTTGCATTTTATTGTTTGGGCGACTTCAGAATATCGAATTTTTCACCAGGCCCGGTCGTCCTGCCAAATTTCATGAGTTTTCGCCAGTGGGAAGTGGGCCATTTTCCAGTTCAAAGGGGAGGAAAAAGAAGAAAGAAAGAAAGAACTAGGGCCCCGTTGGGGCACTGGCGGGCCCGAGCCGTGTCGCGCCGCCCCCAGCGTGACCGCCTCCCCGTCCCATTCGCGTCCTCTGGCCGTCGCCCTCTCTGGTCACGCCCATCACTGCAAAGACCCTTTTCCTTCATCGGTGTTTGCTGTTCTTCCTGCCAGTGCGTGTTGCTTTCACTTACACTTGCCACAGCCAGCCTCGTGAGTGCCTAGCCTATTGGATATCACTGTCACCTACACAGGACAGTCATTACCTTTCTATTAATACTTTGTTTTTAATTTCACATTAATTTCCATATTGTATAAATGACTGGAAAAAACTTGAGCCCCTGCCCCTGTATAATCATGTGCACGTCCCTGTTCTAGCTCCAAGGTGAATCTTCACTGCTCATGTTCTCCTCAGAAGCAGTCACCTCACTCCCCTCAGGTTACTGTACACATGCACCAACTGCCTGCTTCAGGTTTGGATGGAGCTTCATGGTTGTCTTTTGGAGAAATGAGCAGTCAGGTTGTGTTTGAAATTTGATTTTTTTCAGGGGCAAAAAGGGGCCTCTGCATTCTAGTCAAATATGTAAATAGCATGTTTTTGCAGGTGCTAAAAAAAAGACTCTGAGTGTGTGTGTGTGTATGTCCTGCAGTACTCTGAGAAGAATAATAAGCATATTTCTGAGGTGAATTTTGAAGATTCATCTGAGAGTTAGGAGGGCTGATCATTCCCTTACCCTTTAGATGTCTGTCTATGTCTGTTTTTGTGTGATAATGAAAGAATCCCAACTCAAAAAGGCTCTGTTGATGGTTTTTTTTGTTGTTGTTCATTCATATTCAAACCACTATTTTATATCACTGCTAATACGCCAAGACCATTTTATGGTATTTAGCTTTATTATTTCTATACATTTTGCAAGGAAAGAAACCAAGGCCTTCACTAAAATTTCCATAAACTTTAGGAAAGGACCTCTGGTTGTTTAAGGGGGTCATTACTGCAAAAACATATCCTTCCTAAATTTTGAAGGTCAAACCTTAGATCCATTAGGTTTAAATAGAAAAAGCATTAAAATATGTTAGGATTATAGCATATGACAAATATGTGCCTTTCAGTGGCCACAACTACTTTGTCTGCTGGCTCTGCAGTCGATTGACGCTCCCCAGCGTTCAAGTCACATTACATATTTAACCGGATGTAGCAGCAAGACGGAGCCTCGTTGACTCTCCGTTTCAACTTATCTCAAAAGTGAGGACCTCAAACTATACACCAGTTTTCAAATTGTGTTGATAGGCCAAATAAAACCAGAGTTATGATAAATTATGTCCGCGATACTTTTTTTCTGCTTATTTTGATCACGTTCGGCGCTCGATCGCGCTGTATGAGACAGGATAACATAGCATGCAGACATTAGCGACAGGTCTTACAGGCGGAAAAGGCTTGCCAAAGAAAAAAAACAACACACCACAACATCTCTCCTATTGGTGGAAAACTTCACCACAACAACCAATCCAAAATTATATGGTGACTGATTGACAAGGGGCGGGCGCTTACGTTCTTCCTGCAACATGAGAAGGGAGGGAGGAACTCTCAGCAGGGATGCAGTCTGGGACACGTAGTTGCAAACCTAGCGACTTTGTTGTTAGATTCAATGACTTTTCAGACCCCCTAACGACTTTTTTTTAAGAAAGAAAGGGACTTTTATCGACTTCTTCTGGAGTTTAGAGACTCTGACATGAAGCAGGCTTTCCTTACTGAGGAGTTAGCAACGCTGCTAAGGGTGCAGAGCCACACATGCGCTCCGAGCTCTGCATGGGAGACTAAAGCTGACAGAGCTGCAGCAGTTAGCAGGTTTCACCCTCAGAGACCACCAGGGGTTCATGTTGAGGCATTTTCAGTTTTTTTTTTTTTTTTTGCCATAGACACTGTCAGCACAATCTGCAGTTACACTAACAAAAATGCTGCAAAAAACAAAGAATTATGGAAAAATTACACATGGACTGACATAGAGGAGGATCTACACAAGTTTTTTACATCATGTTTTACATCATGCATCATTTACATCATGTTTTTTTGTAGTGGCATAAATAAAAAGTGACATTTGTGAGACTATACAGTGTTTTGTAAATAATTTTACAAAGAATGCCTGGGCCATTGCCTGCATTTTGATGTAAATAGAGGTAAATTACTATGTTCTTTGTTAAAAATTTGCATATGTTTTGAAGTTTACAATTTTTATTTGAAGTTTAAGTTTTAAAAACAGTTCATCACACATATTTGTGGTTTAATTTCACATTAATTTCCATATTGTATAAATGACTGGAAAAAACTTGAGCCCCTGCCCCTGTATAATCATGTGCACGTCCCTGTTCTAGCTCCAAGGTGAATCTTCACTGCTCATGTTCTCCTCAGAAATAGTCACCTCACTCCCCTCAGGTTACTGTACACATGCACCAACTATCTGCTTCAGGTTTGGATGGAGCTTCATGGTTGTCTTTTGGAGAAATGAACAGTCAAGTTGTGTTTGAAATTTGATTTTTTTCAGGGGCAAAAGGAAGCCTCTGCATTCTTGTCAAATATGTAAACAGCATGTTTTTGCAGGTGCTAAAAAACAGACTCTGAGTGTGTGTGTGTGTGTGTGTGTGTGTGTGTGTGTGTGTGTGTGTGTGTGTGTGTGTTGGCGTGTGTGTATATGTGTGTGTATCCTGCAGTACTCTGTACTCCTACAGTGGCCAAAAAGACTTTTAAGAATGTGGATTTTTGGGTCATCTTTGGCGCCCCCTAGAACTGCAGTGGCCAAAATGACTTTTAAGAATGTGGATTTTTGGGTCATCTTTGGCGCCCCCTAGAACGTAAACCGTGGGGTGCAGCGTCATGATTTTTACAACTTTGAATGGGCATGGGGTGTAGATTGCCCTGAGCAAATTTGGTATCGGTGGGACGAAAGCCTTAGGAGGAGATAGCCACATTCCAATGTGTGCGAATCGGCAAAAAATGCGAAATAGCCCTTTAACCGTACATTATACAGATACGCGCTCTTTGACTTTTTCGTAGATCTAATTGAGATACACATGATTGTCAATTTATTTGTCAATATGACAAAGCGTTCAGGCGTGACACTCAACAATGTGTATTTTCACCTTAGGGGACAAGAAAAAATGGACTTTTTTCTCCTGCCATGGGGGGGCGCTCTTTTGGGGAGTAAAAATTCCTTCACAAATGTGTTGATGGCTGGACATTGCATCATCCTAGAAAACTTGGAGGCCAGTGAGGACAAAAATAAAAAGTTATAAGACTTTTAAATATGTGGATTTTAGTGTTATCTTTGGCGCCCCCTAGAACCTAAACCTTGGGGTGCAGCGTCATGATTTTGATAACTTTTAATGGCCATGGGGTGTAGATTGGCCTGAGCAAATGTGGTGCCGGTGGAACGAAAGCCTTCGGAGGAGTTAGCGAAATTCCAATGTGTGCGGATCGGCAAAAAATGCGAAATAACCCTTTAACCGTAATTTGACAGATACGGCCGCACTGACTTTTTTGTAGATCTTATTGAGATACATGTGTGTGTCAAATTTTGTGTCAATATGACAAAGCGTACAGGCGTGACAGTCAATAGTGTGAATTTCCACCTTAGGGGGCGCTATGGAGCCATTTTGCATTTTATTGTTTGGGCGACTTCAGAATATCGAATTTTTAACCAGGCCCGGTCGTCCTGCCAAATTTCATGAGTTTTCGCCAGTGGGAAGTGGGACATTTTCCAGTTCAAAGGGGAGGAAAAAGAAGAAAGAAAGAAAGAACTAGGACCCCGTTGGGGCACTGGCGGGCCCGAGCCGTGTCGCGTCTCCCCCCCCCCAACGTGCTGCCTCCCCGTCCCATTTGTGTCCTCTGGCCATCGCCCTCTCTGGTAACGCCCATCACTGCAAAGACCCTTTTCCTTCATCGGCGTTTGCTGTTCTTCCTGCCAGTGCGTGTTGCTTTCACTTACACTTGCCACAGCCAGTCTCGTGAGTGCCTAGCCTATTGGATATCACTGTCACCTACACAGGACAGTCATTACCTTTCTATTAATACTTTGTGTTTTAATTTCACATTAATTTCCATATTGTATAAACGACTGGAAAAAACTTGAGCCCCTGCCCCTGTATAATCATGTGCATGGCTCTGTTCTAGCTCCAAGGTGAATCTTCACTGCTCATGTTCTCCTCAGAAGTACTCACCTCACTCCCCTCAGGTTACTGTACACATGCACCAACTGCCTGCTTCAGGTTTGGATGGAGCTTCATGGTTGTCTTTTGGAGAAATGACCAGTCAAGTTGTGTTTGAAATTTGATTTTTTTCAGGGGCAAAAGGAGCCTCTGCATTCTTGTCAAATATGTAAATAGCATGTTTTTGCAGGTGCTAAAAACCAGACTCTGAGTGTGTGTGTGTGTGTGTGCGTGTGTGTGTGTCTGTGTGTGCGTTCAAGTCACATGACATATTTAACCGGATGTAGCTGCAAGACGGAGCCTTGTTAACTCTCCGTTTCAACTTATCTCAAAAGTGAGGACCTCAACCTATATACCAGTTTTTCAATTGTGTTGATAGGCCAAATAAAACCAGAGTTATGATAAATTATGTCCGCGATACTTTTTTTCTGCTTATTTTGATCACGTTCGGCGCTCGATCGCGCTGTATGAGACAGGAAAACATAGCATGCAGACATTAGCGACAGGTCTTACAGGCGGAAAAGGCTTGCCAAAGGAAAAAAAATACACACCACAACATCTCTCCTATTGGTGGAAAACTTCACCACAACAACCAATCCAAAATTATATGGTGACTGATTGACAAGGGGCGGGAACTTACGTTCTTCCTGCAACATGAGAAGGGAGGGAGGGACTCTCAGCAGGGATGCAGTCTGGGACACGTAGTTGCAAACCTAGCGACTTTGTTGTTAGATTCAATGACTTTTCAGACCCCCTAACGACTTTTTTTAGAAAGAAAGGGACTTTTATCGACTTCTTCTGGAGTTTAGAGACTCTGACATGAAGCAGGCTTTCCTTACTGAGGAGTTAGCAACGCTGCTAAGGGTGCAGAGCCACACATGCGCTCCGAGCTCTGCATGGGAGACTGAAGCTGACAGAGCTGCAGCAGTTAGCAGGTTTCACCCTCAGAGACCACCAGGGGTTCATGTTGAGGCATTTTAATTTTTTTTTTTTTTGTGCCATAGACACTGTCAGCACAATCTGCAGTTACACTAACAAAAATGCTGCAAAAAACAAAGAATTATGGAAAAATTACACATGGACTGACAGAGGAGGATCTACACAAGTTTTTTACATCATGTTTTACATCATGCATCATTTACATCATGTTTTTTTGTAGTGGCATAAATAAAAAGTGACATTTGTGAGACTATACAGTGTTTTGTAAATAATTTTACAAAGAACGCCTGGGCCATTGCCTGCATTTTGATGTCAATAGAGGTAAATTACTATGTTCTTTGTTAAAAATTTGCATATGTTTTGAAGTTTACAATTTTTATTTGAAGTTTAAGTTTTAAAAACAGTTCATCACACATATTTGTGGTTTAATTTCACATTAATTTCCATATTGTATAAATGACTGGAAAAAACTTGAGCCCCTGCCCCTGTATAATCATGTGCACGTCCCTGTTCTAGCTCCAAGGTGAATCTTCACTGCTCATGTTCTCCTCAGAAATAGTCACCTCACTCCCCTCAGGTTACTGTACACATGCACCAACTATCTGCTTCAGGTTTGAAATGGAGCTTCATGGTTGTCTTTTGGAGAAATGAACAGTCAAGTTGTGTTTGAAATTTGATTTTTTTCAGGGGCAAAAGGAAGCCTCTGCATTCTTGTCAAATATGTAAACAGCATGTTTTTGCAGGTGCTAAAAAACAGACTCTGAGTGTGTGTGTGTGTCTGTGTGTGTGTGTGTGTGTGTGTGTGTGTGTGTGTGTGTGTGTGTATGTTGGCGTGTGTGTATATGTGTGTGTATCCTGCAGTACTCTGTACTCCTGCAGTGGCCAAAAAGACTTTTAAGAATGTGGATTTTTGGGTCATCTTTGGCGCCCCCTAGAACTGCAGTACTCTGTACTCCTGCAGTGGCCAAAATGACTTTTAAGAATGTGGATTTTTGGGTCATCTTTGGCGCCCCCTAGAACGTAAACCGTGGGGTGCAGCGTCATGATTTTTACAACTTTGAATGGGCATGGGGTGTAGATTGCCCTGAGCAAATTTGGTATCGGTGGGACGAAAGCCTTAGGAGGAGATAGCCACATTCCAATGTGTGCGAATCGGCAAAAAATGCAAAATAGCCCTTTAACCGTACATTATACAGATACGCGCTCTTTGACTTTTTCGTAGATCTAATTGAGATACACATGATTGTCAATTTTTGTGTCAATATGACAAAGCGTTCAGGCGTGACACTCAACAATGTGTATTTTCATGTAAGGGGACAAGAAAAAATTGACTTTTTTCTCCTACCATGGGGGGGCGCTCTTTTGGGGAGTAAAAATTCCTTCACAAATGTGTTGATGGCTGGACATTGCATCATCCTAGAAAACTTGGAGGCCAGTGAGGACAAAAATAAAAAGTTATAAAACATTTAAGAATGTGGATTTTTGGGTTATTTTTGGCGCCCCCTAGAACCTAAACCATGGGGTGCAGCATCATGATTTGAATAACTTTTAATGGCCATGGGGTGTAGATTGGCCTGAGCAAATGTGGTGCCGGTGGAACGAAAGCCTTCGGAGGAGTTAGCGAAATTCCAATGTGTGCGTATCGGCAAAAAATGCGGAATAACCCTTT